CCACCTGCTTCCCTCCTCCGTGGGTTTCCCTGCTCTGGACAGTTCATGGAAGTGGAACCACACGCTCTGCGGCCTGTGTCTGGCTTCTCTCACTCAGCGTCGTGTCCTCAAGGCTCATCCACGTTGGGGCGTGGGCTCCTTTTCATGGCCGAGTAATATTCCACCGTGTGGATAGGCCGCATTTTGTTTAAGCACAAGAGACCCTTGAAGGGCTGCCCTGCCCCAGGCGCCCGGAGGCTTTCGCAGACCCCACTGGCACAGGAGCCGTCTGGCACCCTCTGCGACCCTGAGGAACTGGAGCCCCTTCCCGCCTCTTCCCGCTCCCTGGAATGTGTGTGCACTTTGCCCACTGGCTCCCGCACTGCACGACGCCTGGCACTTCCCGCTGGAAGGCGAGCGGGGTCAGACGTGAATCTTTAACAAGCAGAACAGAAACAAAATAAACCTAAAAAACAGCAACACACCCGATTGCTAGTCAGGGTTCCGGGTGGCACCGTGGTTATAGCTGCAGGTCAGCTGTGTCTGTCACACTCCCCTGTGCCCTCTCCCCCCACCTGCCGTCCCCGCCTCCCTGCCCACTGTTCCCTCTTCCCCACCCGCCACTCCCTCCCCTTTAAATATCTGTGCCCCTTCTTTTCATGAGCTCTTCCCTCATATTTGCAGTGGGAACAGGTGCCCTCAAGACAGGGCTCAGATTGAGTTCACAGGGTCCTACATCGGCCGGTCGCCGGCGTGGGGCCTTTACGTGATTGTTTCGCTTCCTGCATATTTCTCTGGTTCCGCACTGCCCGGCTGCGTGAGTCCCGCTCCGGCTCGGGCAGGCCCCCTGTGCCCGCTGCCTCCGCGCAGGAGGGGAGCCGGGGCAGTGTGCCCGTCGTGTGTCCGCCCTCAGAACAGCTTTCTGCTCAACACGCTGTGTCTGCAGAGTGGGTCTCAGGTTGCTGCGTGTTTTCACAGGATAGGAAATAAACTGGGTGGGACTGTGGGAGAGGCAGCCGCCCAGCGAGGTGGGAACACAACGGGCGGCCCGTGTAACTCAGCAAGTAGGAAAAGCCGCGTTTGTACCAAAGGGCAGTCAGCGTGTTTATTTACTTTGGCAAAGAAACACTTTGTGTCCTAGAACCCAAAGGCGTTTCCCCCGGGAATAAAGTGTTTGCATAAAAGGTAATGAGCAAACCATGAGTATCTTCCGGGTGGAAAGTGTGTTCAAATGATTTTCCTGCAACGCTGCACCTTTGTGGTACTCCTCTGCAGAGTCAGTTACTCTTCAGTTAGTAAAAGCATTCCCACTAGTAAACAAACCGTCAGATGGCCAGCTCTGTGAGTGCGCTTCCTTGGCTGCTGTTCCCCTGAAGCCCAGGGCACCACCGTGGTTCGAATCCCCTGCGCCCGAGCTGGGTCACCCCCCTGAGCCCGTGGTCGATGGGCGAGTCTCCGTCGGAAGCTGTGACTCGGAGCCTCTCTTCCCAGGGTGGCCGGTGCAGGATCCGTCCCTTCTCTCTTCCAGGGGAAGGCAAAGAGGAAATCGTGAAGGTGACCTTTGAAGAGCTGCGGCAGCAGGTGGCATTGTTCGCAGCGGCAATGAGGAAAGTCGGCGTGAGGAAAGGAGACCGCGTCGTGGGTGAGCATTGTGGGTGCTCATGGTGGTTCAGGGGGAAGAGACCAAGGCTGAGGGAGTGGCCGGGTGCGCCTCTCCCGGGGGAGCTTACGCAAGTGAGCATTCAGGAGTGTTTGCCAAGAGGGCGGGAGAGCTGAGTGGCCTTATCATGTTAACCAGGTCAGTGGCCGGCCCGTGTCTGCCCATTTCAGTGACAGCTGGGCTCAGAGCCACTGCTCACCGTATGTTCCTGGACTAGGAAGGACTCAGATGGTGAGGGACGCACCCGGTTGCCCCCATCTCCGCCCTCGATGGAGTGTCCCGCATACCTGCGGGTTCACCTGCTTCATCGAGGTCTCAGACGTTTCCTCCTCAGAGGCCGTCCCTGGAAAATCCGATGGAGAAACCCATCCACCCTCTCCCTGCACCTGCCCAGTTTTCCTTTGTCGTCCTTACTGCCCACCTGAAGTCTCAGGATTCTGTGTGCGTGTCTGTCCTCCAGCACTAGGGGCTGTCTTCTCACTGCCGCGTCTCCAGGTGTCGCCAGTGCCTGGCCCGTAGCGCGTGTACAATAAATATTTAGTGAAGGAAGGAATGGGGGCCGGGCCGGTGGTCGGAGCAGGCATCGTGTGGTTGAAGCTCAGTGTCCCGGGCTCTTCTTGGCCCAGTTCAGTCTGCACCCTCGTAAGGTCTAGAAAAGGAATTCCGGAGGTTCTCCAATTTTTTTCTTCCTTCTAATTTGCATTTTCAAAAATCTCCGTGTGAAGCTGAGAGGAGAGACAGAGAGCAGAGTGTGTTGGGGAGACCACCGAGCCCCCTGGGCCATGCTGTCTTTGGGGGACACCTGGCTTCAGTGCCCTGAATGCTTCAGAGCCAGGCTGGCACCTGGTGACCTGCCCGTTCCGCTGGGACACTGACTTGCCCTGACCGTAGCTGGGAGGACAGGGTGGGTGTTGCTCAGGAGAGCCCAGGAGGATCGTCTTGGGGATGGAGTCAATGTGGAGATGCCTGAGGGGCTGCAGAGAAGAGGCCTCGCTGTTTCTGGCTCAGTTCTCATGTCTGTGACGTGGTCGTCTCCTGGCTGTGGGTCTGTCCCTGCCACGTCAGCTGGGCCACGCAGCCTCCCAGGCAGTGAGCCTGCCCTGCGGTGGGGCTGTGGCACCATCGAGAAGCTGCAGTTTGCACTCGTCTCCAAAGCAAATATCAGGACCTGCCCTGCCGGATGCTGGGCAGAGCCCCTGCCCCTTGAGACGCTGGCTGGGTGGGGGGGTTGCCCGGAAGCCGGAGAAGCACAGGTACCTCCTGCTCTGGTCAAGTGCAGTTCAGAGCAGCAGAAGGGGGGCACGGGAAGTTTAGGGCGATCCGATCAGACCGTGGAGAATGGGTTAGAGGGGTGACGGGAATGGGCTTGCTGGTGGTGGGCCATCCACACGAGAGGCGTCAGGGCAGCTGGGTGGGTGAGGAGGGGTGGGGCCGGCTGTGCTCCTTGGGCAGACCAGAGCCAGCCCCGTTGCCACTCCTGCCCAGCTCCTGGGGCATGTCTTTGGAAGCCTGCTGCACCCAGCTTGCCCTGAGCCAAGGCTTTCTCCCCGGGTCCCTTTTGCAGGTTATTTACCCAACGGCGTGCATGCCCTGGAGGCCATGCTGGCTGCAGCGAGCATTGGCGCCATCTGGAGCGCCACATCCCCTGACTTCGGTGTGAATGTGAGTCGGGGTCCCTGCCGGGGGGGACATTGCTGGGCCCATGTGTGCCCTGGGAATGCAGCCCACCTGGTATCTTGTGTAGGAGCCAGTGGGGCAGAATTCCCAGTGGGGCTGTGGGGCTGGCAAGGCTGGAAGGAAATGATGTCACGATGGCCGCCTGTCCCCCAGCCAGGGACACTAGAATAGCAGGAGAGGAGCCAGAAGGAAGGGGGTCTTGCTTTAAGGTATCACGCTGTCCCATTGTGTGTGTGGTGTGGGGCATGATCGTGGCCCCCGGGGCTGGAATGAATCCCCCACCTGAAGGCCTGGCAGGGAGCGGAGCTCCTAGATGGACTGGGGGTGGGGGAGTCTGAGCCCCCGATGCGGGGCGGGAGGGTTCGGAACCCCCTGTGCCAGCTGCTTCCGGCTCAGCTGCACCATCAGCGGCTGCTGCTGCCCTTCACCTGTGCTCTAGGGTGTCACCACTAGATGCCACTCTGGCCACCTCTGGTCCCAGTCCTGCCGTGCAGGACTTAGCCAGGGGAGGGCGCTGCGTGCGTGTGTGTGCATGTATGCGTGCGTGTGTGCATGTGTGTGTGCATGTGCGTGTGCGCGTGTGTGTGCGTGCGTGCGTGTGTGTGTGTGGTCATCCTTCCAGTTCATGGTCAGAGCTGCACCGGGTGCAGGAAGTGTGAGGGCACCAGGTGTGGGCAGCTCTGCCCTCCCGGCCACCTCAGCACACTTGGTGCCCAGAGGTCTCTGCAGACGGGTTTGCCCCAGTCTCGGGGGGCAGGCCCTTGGTCAGTCAGAACACGACAGGGCCAAATGCCTCCCATTAAGACCGTTGCTCTGCCCGTCAGGTTCCCCACCTTCCAGCCCCACCGAGACCTTTGGGTCCTGCGTTTTTCAGCCTCTTTGCTATTTTCTTTGTCTCAGTTTCCCTTTGGGTTGGCGGCATTCTCAGAGATGTTGGGGGAGTCCAGCCTCTGGTGCCACACGGCCCTGGCAGCGTCTTCAGATCTCTGTGGGTGCGCGCCCGTGTGTGTAAGCGGGACGGCCGTGGGCTCGGCCCCCGTCCACGCGGTTTGGTGCTCGCTGTGGGTCCCAGCGCTTTACTGGTTGCTGGGCGCCGCATGCAGGTCAGACGCCTGGCGCAGGTGTGTTTGCTTCGTGGTCACGTGAAAGGAGCTCTCCCCTGGACTGAACAGCCGCCAGGTGGTTCCAGGTGCTCGGAGATCGCCACCTGTACCTGACCAGCCCGTACAAGCTCCGCGGCATCGCGGGACCTCCGAGTCTCCGCGGTGCCAGGGCCCAGGCTTCTGATTCTGAGACCCTGGTCATCTCTGCTGTCTGTTTGCTGTCACTGTGAGCGAGGGTCACCCCTGGGACATCTGATCCCTGGGTCCTTCCCCCTCAGTTTGTTGCCACCTTGAGTCTGGGACGGGGCTGGGCGAGACGCTGGGTTTCGTGGAGATGTCTCTGCCCCCGCCCAGGGCTCCCGTGTGTGTTCGGAGCCCTTTCTGTGAAGCGGGGAGCTGTTCCATAGCGCAGACACCCTACAAATCGCTGTCTGATAAACTCGGACGTGGCTGTTCGGTGCTGTAAGTCCCCTGGTGTTTTGTTACACATGCGCCTTCCTCCAGCGATAGGCGCCCCAGGAGCACGTCGTGGTTTGCTTGGCTGTGATGGGGACGCAGGGACAGGCCTGTGCACTGATGACGCTGTTTCTCTCCCTGGAAATGCAGCAGCCCCGGTGGCTGCTGAGGGGGCGCCTGCGGGGCACCCGTGACAACTCCCTCCCCTCCTCAGGGTGTCCTGGACCGGTTTTCCCAGATCCAGCCGAAGCTCATCTTCTCCGTGGAGGCCGTTGTGTATAACCGCAAAGAGCACGGCCACCTGGACAAGCTGCAGCAGGTCGTGAAAGGTGTGCGGGGGCCCGGGCCGGCCTGGCGGGGCGCGGGCAGAGACGGAGCCCTGCGGGACTCGCCGAGGCCAACCCCCTGCGGAGCCCAGGGCCAGATACTGTTACAGAAGGTAGCAGTGCCCTGCAACTTTGTATTTCCTCCTCTCCCCTCAGGGCTGCCCGACTTGGAGAGAGTGGTGGTGATTCCTTACATCACCTCCAGGGAGAAGATCGACATCTCCAAGATCCCCAACAGGTAAGCCAGACACTGTTGGTGCCGGTCATTGTTTCCTGTGACGTGTAGACTGTTGGAGAGAAAGGCGTTTTCCCTGGACGTGCCCATCAGTTCGGGCATCTGTGTAAACGGGGTTCGTGGGGGAGGGGGAGGCGCACGTTCCCATTGGCCGGAACATCCCGTGGCGAATCGTTTTCCTGGCTCCGGAGCAGGAGGCTTTGTTTACCGCATGGAGATGAGTCATTTCGATGCCCTTTTGAAAAAATATATGTTTTTATTGATTTTTTTTTAGAGAGCGAGGAAGGGAGAGGGACGGGGGAGGGAAACATCAATGATGAGCGGGGATCATCCAGCGGCTGCCTCCTGCACGCCGCCTGCTGGGGGTCAGGCCCGCAGCCCCGGGCATTGCCCTGACCCGAATCCAGTCGCTGACCTCTTCGTGCGGGTCGGTGCTCGGCCATCGCGCATGCTGGCTGGGCTAGTCATTCACTCACTTCAAAGGAGAGAGCCGCCCCTGTCTGCAGCACCGTTAAAGTCCCGTCTGCTTCCCTCCAGGTCCCACGAGGTTGGGAGACGAGGCCCCCGCCCCCCCGGCTTCCACTCGGGGAAGGGTCTGTTTCCGGGAGCCCAGGCCCCGGTCCGGCCGGACTCCAGGAGCGAGGCTGCGCCTGGGCGGGGGGTTCGCTCTGTGTGATCCCATGCGTTTCGCCCACAGCATGTTCCTGGACGACTTTCTCGCGGCCGGGAAAGGGGACCAAGCGCCCCAGCTGGAGTTTGAGCAGCTGCCCTTCAGCCACCCTCTCTTCATCATGTTCTCGTCGGGCACGACTGGGGCGCCCAAGTGCATGGTGCACTCCGCCGGGGTAGGTCCCTCTGCACCCGGCCCCGGGTTCCGGTGGGGCCCCGCTTTCAGGGGGTGTCACCTGGAGACCTGGAATCGAGCTGAGCGGGGAGAGCTGCTGTGCCCAGTGCTTCGGAGCCGTCACCACTGTGATGGGGACAGTGCGCCAGCCCTGGCCTCCTCGCCGGCCCGCCTGGCAGCTCCCTCCACACCCAGCTCCCCAGTTTCCCCCCAGCTGCCTTAGCTGGGGGAGAAGAAAAACCCCACTGTCCTTGGCCAAGGTGTCCCTGAGTTCCAAACAGAGGCCCACAGGGAACTATAGATGCAGCAGCTGCTGTGTGTCCCGGTGACAGTCTTCCTCTGTCACCTGCCCCTGCCTGTCCTCCGTGAGGGGACAAGGCTCCGGGCAGCCTGTTCTAGAGACAGTGGTGGGGCGCCGAGCTCTGACCTCGCCCTCGTCTTTAACTGTGACTCTCAGTCTAATCCCCACTCCCCCTCCTGAGGTGGCAGGTCCCCTGGTGCCCAGAGCTGATGGCCGGCAGGAGCCTGTCAGGTTCTCCGTCCTCAGGCCCCTCGGGTCAGGCAGCCGGTGACGTGAGCACCACTTACCAGGGGAGGGCGCCAGGGTCGGCCTCCTGGGGACGGAGACCTGTCCCTGTCCCGGGCAGTGTCTGTGGCAGGCCCGCTCCCCGAGCACCTCGGAGGAAGCAGCTGCTCAGGGGCCTCTCCCCCCAGGGCACCCTCATCCAGCACCTGAAGGAGCACGTGCTGCACGGGGACACGACCAGCAGCGACATCCTGCTGTACTACACCACGGTGAGCGCCGGGCGGAGCTGCCCATCTGGGGCGGGCGGTTCTCGCCCGCTCCGCCGCTTTGGGCGGTTTTGCAGGATGTCCAAGGTGAGCGACAGGGAGGGGCCGGTCCTGCTGGTGACGCGTGTCTGTCTGTCCGTTCCAGGTGGGCTGGATGATGTGGAACTGGATGGTGTCTGCTCTGGCCACGGGCGCAGCCCTGGTCCTGTACGACGGCTCCCCGCTGGCGCCCTCGCCCACGGTGCTCTGCGACCTGGTTGACAGGATAGGGTGGGTGCCCGCCTGGGACTCCCCACCGCCTCTCGCCCGAGTCGGGTGGCGAGGAGAGCCCTGCCCGTCTCCAGCTGCCCCGGTGCTGGCGGCCCTGCGCCGCGCCCTGGGACCCTCCGCCGCTGGGTCGCTGTCCTGTGGGGCTGGGCTGGGCGGCAGTGGGCTGCTGAGGAGCAGAACAGGCTGGTTTAGAGGAGCGTCTTGCCCGTCCTGTCCCAGAGACTGTGAACCCCGCGGAGGAAGGGCCCCCTCCCCCCCAGGCCCTCCTCCCTGTGATGAGTCATTTTCAGAAACCGCCCGAGACCTGCCTCAGCGGCGGGTCCTCTGCTGGCTCCG